TCTATAAGAGCAGTTGGGCACAATCTCTCTTTTATTAAGTATGACCACAATGGTCACTAATCTCCTTTAAACTGAAGTGGATAGAAAAGTAGCTGCTAAGGAGAGGTGAAGAGCTGGTAGGCAAGTCAATCAGCTAGTTAACTTGTGGAGGGTTTTACCGATTCATGAAGCAATAGCTAACAGAGAATGCATTGAGCAGAAATCTGATTTTGTCAAGTTACCCCTGAGATGGAATTCCTTTCTCTTCTAAAGGGGACAGTAACACTGCTTATCTTGGGGCTCTAGCAGATGGAGTGTTGGCACACCTGTAAGTCACCCATTACGTCTTGGTCTTAATGTCCACTTGGAGGGATTGTACAAGAGGGTCAGTAGAAGCCACTCTGTGAATTTGGTGTCTCTAGATGCCTTGAAGGCCATTTTATATTGTTTTAAGAATGGATGAATTGATTCGTCAATTTGTCAGAAAAAAATCATAAATTTGTAATTTGTGATTTGTCAACCTTGACAAATCAGATCCACAGAGATTCAATGGGCTTACTCTAGTGCAACTTACTACCCTGAACAACAGCCTTTCAGACACTGTTATCTTGTTAAGTGATCTTTTAACCATATTGGAAAAGGGACAGTTTGTGTCCTGAACTCCCACATGCTATTTTTCCTTACTAAGTTCTACTGAAAATGACTGATACGTCCTACAGGAAAATATACTTCAGGAGATTATGTGGCCGAGATAGGGCTGAAATGTGAATGACTTATTCTGGTGTTCTGGAACAAGGTGATCATTAATACAGAGCCCATTTGCTTTTTGCTTATTTCTGCCACAGACTCTATGGCTTGGAAACGGGGATGAGCACCGCCCCCTAGAGTTGAACACGACTGGACAAAAATTGTCAAGGGGAACCTTTACCTTTACCTATCTTGTTAAGCAAACTTTTAGCCATACTGGAAGAGGGACAGTTTGTATCCTGAATTCCCACATGCTATTTTTCCTTACTAAGTTCTACTGAAAATGACTGATATGTCCTACAGGAAAATATACTTCAAGAGATTATGTGACTGAGATGGGGCTGAAATGTGAATGACTTATTTTGATGTTCTGGAACAAGGTGATAATTAATACAGAGGCCATTTGCTTTTTACTTATTTCTGCCACAGAGTGCTACTCCTGTCCTGTGAAGATGCTGGCCACAGAGACTGGTGAAACGTTAGGAAGAACAACCTTCAGAACACGGCCAAAGAGCCCAAAAAACCCACAACAACCTTTAGATCCCAGCCGGGAAAGCCTTTGCGAATACATCCAGGGGACATTTTTCATGTCCTAGTACAAATGAATCTCAACTTTTATTCCCTTGAGTTTCTCTACTTTTTGTGTCTCTCCCAAGTCCTTTGAGGTTTTTTGTGCCACTTTGTGGCACTTCCTAAAGTTGGCCTTAGAGTTTTCTCTCTTTTTTTTCCCCCTTATTGAAATGATCCTAATCGATCAAAAAGCTAGGGGAGGATAGTATTATGCTCAAGTATCCACTCTGGGGTAGTGACTAGAATTATAGACTAGGAGTCAGGAAACGGGTTCAAATCCCTACTTAGCCTTGGAAATTCAGAGGGTTGTATAAGCCCTTTAAATATTGCACTTACCATGAAAGCCCTACTCTGGAATCTCTGTAAGTTGGTTCCAATTCAACAACACATGCCAACATCATAGAATTATGCTGGCAAGAGAGCCCTTGAGAGATCTGTAGCTGCCTTTCCAAATGTGCTCCCCCCTTACAAAAAGCAGCAAGAGAAGTCAGAGGAGGAGGAGGAGAGCAGAGAAGGAGGTAGGCCAAGGAGCAAAGGTAAGCTGAGCAACCCAGGCAGCATAACTCAAAAGAGCTATGGAAGGATGGCAAATAGGGGCAGACATGTGGCAGAAGAGGGGGAAGACTGAAAAGGCGGAAGGCTAAGTCTGACTGATATGACAAGGGGAGGGAAAGAGTGGCTGAGGAATAGAATTTGGGGTAGACTGCTTGGTGGGAAAATGTTGTTTGTTATCCCTTCCGGTGTTATCAACATGAGGGGACTGATTTTTTGTGTGACAGGAGCTTCAGGATTCCCTATCCCTCACTTCCCAATTTGGAAACCTGATAAATCCCACACTTTCTCTGAGATAAGCAACAAAAAGGGAGGGGGGGCAGAAGAACAAGGCAGTACAAATGCCCTGTTTGGGGAAGCCCTTAGCTGTGTGGATTTAGAGCATGACTGTAAACCTTTGCCACGTTTATGTGCAGTGCCTACAATTCTGCAGGAGAAATTTAAGACTACCGTTATAGCAAGCAGATACTGTAGGTTATGACTTTGACAGGCTATGGCTTTTGAAATGATTAAATATTTCAGAAACAAACTCTGTTTCACCTAGATGCATGTTCTTCTTTTTAACATTTTTCTTCTTACCCTGATGCAAAATGTAGTTGTTCATATTGCCAGGTTTTCATCCCAAAATATGGATTTCCTGGGACATTCAGTTATCACAAAAGTCAACTCCAAAAACCCGGTTGACCAACCTCCTCTTTCAATTGCCCACTTTAGGTGTTTTACTCACACATTCTCCCAGAATACTACTAGCAATACCCTGGAGAGAAATCACACCCCAACACTGGCATTGATGCGTATAACATGGAAGTCTGTAGGAACAGAGCCTCTTGTGTTCAGCTGTGTGCTCTGTGGTGGGCATGTTATGGCAACCGGTTCCTCTTAGATTATGAGACTTTGGCACTAGAGTCATTTTCTTATGACGTGGACAAACCACTCTACTCTTGCCTTCAAGAATATGACTTATTATAAGAAAGGGCTGTCTTAATTTTAAAATGTGTTTTAATTCAGTACTTATTAAAAGTTCATGTACACATCGAGATCCAATAGTGCATTTTAGTAGCCAAAGACTAAGGAATTGAGATTCCTTCTATCTGTTCTAGAGTGATCATCTGTCATGTACAATGCACACACGTGCAAAAACTGTTGCTGATAAAAAAAATCTGTGTTTTGCAATATTGCTTTTCTACCTGGAACATCTATCCAAGGGATATTTGGTGTCTGGTCATATCAGTCCCCTTTGGCTGATTGGGACAGGTCAATTTGGTTGGGCTGTCCTACTGAGAAATCTCTGTTCTGGGACATTTTTTTTTTTTTGCATTATTGATTTTCTGCCCAGAATGTTGTTCCTGCAGATGATTTGTGGTTTGCTGCATCCATTTCATCAAACCACCTATGTGTTATGAATGTGGTTGGGTTATGACACTTGAAAATTGCCATTCCAGGCCATCGTGTTCCATTCCATCAAGTTTTGGGATTATAAAGGGTTAAAGAAACAGTAGTGATCATTGTCTTTGAAGTCTAAAATATTGTTTGTATATTTGTCCAGCACATGCCACTGTTTTTAATTTATATTAAGAAGATCCTGTTCTGGCCCATTCTGTTCCAGCTTTTACCTAACCCCATTACCAGAGTATAAAGAAGAAAAACACAGAAAGGAGAAGAGACCAGTCCAGTCTCAACAATTCCCTTTCTGGTTCCACACAAAAAGTAGTACTTTCAATCTTTCAACAAACGTTTAAAGTAGGAAAAGGCTATTTTTACTTGCAGTTACCATTTGTAGTTAAAGTCAGAAGTAAAAGTGGGGGCAGGGGAGTGGATTGGTACAAGGGAAAGCCCTGCTGCTTGGAGAATAGTCACAGGTAGAAGAGAGAGTTATCAACAAAATAAAGGAAGCAAAAAGAAATACTAGAGGTGGGAATAGAACTTTATTAATCAAATTAGCAGCAAAGAACAATCGCTTTGGGCTCTTAAAACCCCTCCCACAGAAACCCAGTGTTAATACATGCAAGAATCCTATTATCCCAATAAAAGCCTCCTTCAGATGTTTCCCAGCTGTCCACTGCAAGAGTGTGTGTTTGTGTGTGTGGTGGTCTGAAAAGGAATATGTGGAGTTTTGTGTGTCATCAGTTCTCATGGAAGCAATGGGAATTGTGTCAGTAGTAGAACTACATCACTGGATGCTGGCTGTAGTGTTACTTTTGCTGTAATGTTCAAACATGTCTTGGATATGGAAGCATGGGATCATGGGTGCCAAGCAATCCATGAAGTGCAGAAAGACGTTATTCTGAATTATTTTAGACAGACCATAGTGGGAGGATGTACAAATTAATAAAAAGCCCTGTATACAGTCAGGGTCATGCCACTGGCGTTTCTTTTATTGTGTTGTGTTGTGTTTGCAGCTACTGGCAACCCATTTCTAGTCTGCAAGCTGAGAAACATGTCCTGTAGGATTCTGACAATATTTCCGTTGCTTGAATAGGTTTTGAAGCTTTTAAAAAACATTTTCCCTTGCACCAAGAAAGGCGGAGGCATGCCAAAGCAAGCCCCTATAGCTTTGAAAATCTTGTTAACCTTTAAATAAACTGGGCATGTTTTCTTGTCCGAACAATGACCTTATTGTTTAGGCTAAGATATAGTACGTGGCCAGCTATGTTAGGAAATGAATGAATTGTAGTGCTGTCAACTACTATTTTGGTCCACACCTACCTTATCTAGGAATTTCTTCCAAGTGTTTCACGTTAAATAAAATACATTAGAAGCAACAACCGTCCAGATGAACAGATTTTACCTTCAGAAACTGTTCTGCTCCCCATCCCCATCCCCATCCAGAAAGCTGAAGAGTCAAGTGAAACAAACCTCTGAAAGTTATCCCCTGCTATTTGTGTAATTATTATGGCTCTTGCCTCTATAGTAATAGTAGTAGCTGCAGCCCCAGTGCTTCTGCTGTTGTAGAGAATGTGCAAAGGGTTCACAGCTAGTGATAGGCACGGATTGCTGCTTCAGAGGATGGTCGAACAGGTGCTTTGTAAGTTGACGCCCTGTCCCTTCCAGTGGGCACCCACTCAGAGGCAGAGCCTGGAGGAGGTGGGGCAGAGAAGCCAGGATGCTGCTTCTGAGTGGGTGCCCACCAGAGAGAGTAGGGTGCCAAACTGTGGAACACCTGTTTGGCTATCTGCCCAACTGGCATGGACTGCTAGACCATCATTTTGTGCCCATCTCTGCTCACAACACGAGAACTGTATTCCAATAACTATCTAAGCATAATTGCAATAAAGATCTGCTACCAACCCATTTTAAAGTATCAGAGATTCCAATAAACAGGCACTCATTTATTGCAGTTGAGGTGTGCAGATCTGTGCTTCTGGAATACAACCCCCAGAATTCCCCAGCACACCTATGCTGCCTGGGGAATCCTGGGAGCTGTCTTCTAAACACCCCCCCCGAATTTACACACCACTTCATTTCAATAATAATGACTTTATATATAGATTTTAAAATCATTGCAAGGTGTACAGTGTCTATCACTGAAACATAACCATTCATGGTTTTTAAAAGTATCTGTGCAGTCTGATGTAATGATTGCTGGTGTCCAGTATTTCAATATTTTGAAATAGAATTTCATGTCCAGTTTGTTTCAGAGCATGTTCAGCTACTGCCAATTTTTCTGGTTGTTTTAGTCTGCAGTGTCTCTCATGTTCTTTGATT